CGGCTTTTGCTTTACCTGTTAAACTGTCTTTATCTCAACCCACAAGTTTTCTCACTTGTACTCTTCTGATTCTCTCTCCCATCCCGCTGCAGGGGAAGTGAGCGAGCGGCTCTGTGGTGCTTAGTTGCCGGCTGGGGTTAAATCACAACAAACTCCCATGTCTTTTCCTGCAAAGCTGCTTTCTAGCAACCGCTAGCCTCTCCTGCTGCACAGTTTTATTCCATCCCAGACTCTACATTTGCCTTTGTCGATCTTCATGATGTTCTTCTCCATTGGACTAGATGATCATTGTAGGTCCCTTCCAACAGAAATATTCTATTCCATTGTATACATTTCTCTCACCTTTTTCAACCCCTCTGAATAGCAGCCTTGACCTACAGTGTTATTCATTGCTCCCCTCACTTTGGTACTGTCTGCAAACTTGCTGAGAGCACACACTACCCATACCTATGTTATTAATAGGGACATTAGATGGTATTAGCCCCAGCATCAATTCCTGAGGGATGTCACTGACAACTAGCTGTCACTTACTGATCTTGTGCAAGAAAAAACCCGTAAAACCCTTCTCTTATTACAGTGACTTTGTTGAGATCAACCAGATCTGGAAACAAGGCTAATTCCCACTTTTCTTCACATAAAACATAACTTAAGAGTTGTAAATTAGGTTAATTTATTATTAAAGTTCCTCCCCCCCACACAAAGCATTAAGGCCTGAGAGGACAGCACATTGGGCCACTTAAAAAATACTGCTACCAGAAAACAAAAGATGGTCTCTGAACAATCCCCCCCAAAGCATTAAGGCCTGAGAGGACAGCACATTGGGCCACTTAAAAAATACTGCTACATACTGAACAATGGCCTAGGACACTTCATTATCCTACCAGTAAAACTCAGGTGTGACACAGCAAACGCTAATCAAGAGTCTGAAATAGCCTCAGTTATCATTAAAAGCGCCAGCTAACTTTTGCTGCAGAAGTTATGTGCCAATTCTGCCAGCGATAAATACAGCACTATTTGCCACACACTGGTGCACAGGGCTTGAGATGAAGTTACGCTCTTATATCAAAGCAAAAAAGACATTTGAATGAAACTAGTAATGTTTCCTACTTTAGTTACCATCTTTGGCATTAAAACACTCTATGGTTTGGCACCTAACATGTTCCTAAGTTTTTTAAGCTAACAAGAACGAACACAGGCACCAAGCAGACACTAAGTGATTTGTTCAACTCGTAAGACAAAAAAAGTCAGAACTCGGGCTTTCTGCAGAAGCGTCAGCAAACCCCACCCAAAGCTCGGTGAAGGCAGAAGAAAGTCTATGTACAAAACTTAAAGAAGGTGGTACTCAGCTCTACCAAGAGTTACGCAAACACACCAAATGGAGATAAATCCACTACCATTTACTCAATATGCAGCAGCAAAAACACATTGCTGACTCTACCTTATACTTAACTTCAAGTAACTGAAATCAAAGACAGGAGTTCTAAAGAGCTTGAGTCGACATACTTTGTTGGATCTGAGCCAAAAAATGCTTAAACACATCATGAAATAATCTCAGTCTGCAAGGAAAACAGGCCCCATAAATATTCTTCTTGTCGAGTTATAAAGCATACTACAGACAAACGATTTCTATTGTTACCTTATTAATATCATCTGCTGTAAATCCAACTTGCTGTAAGAGCTTTTTAATTGCTTCTACACATTTACTAAAAAGCGAAGAACAGATAAGTTCAAACCTGGCCCTAGAAGAAAAAGAAGAAAAATAAAATTCAAGAAGCGTCATCTCATCCATTAGAGACAAACACCTAAAACTGAAGAACAATCATTTTTAGAATATACTTTGGTTCTCTAGCTATACCTGGTATGAAGGGATTTAAAAAAAACAAAAACACCCCCTTATTTCCCAATTATTAATCTCAAAGAAGTGATTTTTTTGTTGTTGTTGTTGTGAAAATATCTGTGCTATTGATTCCACCATTAACACCTACGTGGAATGCACATTCATTCTTCTTCAGTGTACTCTAGACAAAAAACAGTATTGTTGTCTTGACTCATATGTGAAAAAAAGCAGCAAAAATCCTGGAACTGCTTCATCATCTTTAAAATGGAGACACAACAACTCAAATGTGCCTCTTGAATTTTCAGAGACAAATCAAGCTGTGTCCTGATTCGCATGCAGGGAGTAGGTACGCAAGCAAATTGAAAAACAAACTTGTGCTTGCTTCAGGCTCTTTCAAGCCTGAAGAGAAGTTTTACTCTGTACGAATACAGCAAGTCAAATTCTCCAACACTAGTCCACAGGACTAGCATCCTTATCCAAAACTGAGCCAAACAAGTTATGCAGCATTGCTTCTCACACTTGCGAACATACTGTGCCTTGTTTTACCAGATCCAGCTGCTGCAGCAGACCAGATCCAACTGCTGCAGCAGTGGATGCACAGTTCTGGAACTGGAAAGTCTAAAGCTGCTGCTGACTGGAAGAGCAATCAAAATTAGCTAAACACCTCAACAAGGGATCACGCCAAGAGAGAAAAGACTTAGAGTAGGACACAGCAGTATGAACAAAAAGACAGAAAACATCTTTCTACTCCAGCTGTCAAATAGAGGCAACATCAAGACTTCCATGACTCGAGGCCGCACCTCGAATACTGTGTTCAGTTTTGGGCCCCTCACTACAAGAAGGACGTTGAGGTGCTGGAGCGTGTCCAGAGAAGGGCAACAAAGCTGGTGAAGGGTCTGGAGAACAAGTCTTATGAGGAGAGGCTGAGGGAACTGGGACTGTTTAGCCTGGAGAAAAGGAGGGTGAGGGGAGACCTCATCGCTCTCTACAACCACCTGAAAGGAGGTTGTAGCGAGGTGGGTGTTGGTCTCCTCTCCCAAGTAACAAGTGACAGGACGAGAGGAAATGGCCTCAAGTTGCACCAGGGGAGGTTTAGATTGGATGTAAGGAAAAATTTCTTTACTGAAAGAGTGGTGAAACATTGGAACAGGCTGCGCAGGGAAGTGGTGGAGTCCCCATCCCTGGAGGTATTTAAAAGACGAGTAGATGAGGCGCTTAGGGACATGGTTTAGTGGGTGGTGGTGTTGGGTCGACGGTTGGACTCTATGATCTTAGAGGTCTTTTCCAACCTCAATGATTCTATGATTCTATGACTCCTATCATTCTGGAGCTCGTTTAGATGAGAGAGTCCAAAAGTCTTCTTTTTTTAAGGAAAAACCAGCAACAAAAACAACAATAAGGGGAAATGCCCTCCCACCTTGCGTAATTACAGTATCTATTCCCCTTTCATCAACAACCAGACTCCAAAGAGCGGGGTCTCCCTGTGCCTTTTCGCACTTCATTTTCTAACCATTAGGGCAACACTGTTAGGGTTGTAGCACTAACTACTACAGATCGCATCATAACAGAACCATCAATATGAAACAAAGCTGAAAGCAAGCAAGTTGGTCTTCCATCCTACTTCCGTTTCTAAAATTAATGCCACCAAAAAAAAAAAAAAAAAAAAAAAATCAAAGCTTATTGAACATCCTAAATACCACCTAGAAATATTTCAAGCACAGTTTTATATAAAAGCAGTAGCTTCAAGATTTGCTTTACCTGGACACATTACAATCAAAATCCAATCCATCATACAATGAGTCTACAAAACAGTTTGCACTTCCCAGGGTTGATAACGAGTGCTTTGCAACATCAGCGCTGTTCATTAACTTCATCATGGCTCTGGGATTTCCCCTAATATCATGTTTACAAGACCTACATTTAAGAACAGATATCAGTTTAGAAAGGCAGGCATTTGAGTGATAACACTAATATTCTGAAAGGAAAAACAGGTTAAAGCTATTGAACTTTTTTTCTGTAGACATTTTAGCATTATCTACAATGCCACTATTGAAAGCTTGCGAAGAATAAAAGTGTCTATTTCAACTTCAACTAAAGAACGCTGTGTAGAGGCACCCTGAACTCGGTCATTAGTGTTTTATCATACAGATTTAAGTCTTTCTGAACAGTTTCTCAGCTGAACACATCTTGTAAGTGACTGCAAGGAACAGCAAGAAAAGGCCTGCAAGTTAACTAATTTTAACCACAGATTAAGAAGAAATAGAACACCAAACATTACATAGGTCAACAGAATAGTATGTTTCATCCAAAAAGTCTCCTCCTGTGATAGTACGCAACTGACCACCTTAAGATCACTAGAGCTGATGGTAATGCATTTGTTCATCACAGGATGACATGCTATATAGACTTCAACCTGATGATCCAAGCCCCGCCACAGTCCTTCATGCCAACAAGACAAACAAACAAAACCCACACAGGTGAACTCCCTGCCACCCCAAAAGCTTGTGACTGAACAGATGTAAGCAGCCTGTAGTCACATACATCACTCAAAACACAGAACAGTTCATAGCTGAGCCCTTAATAGTTCAACACCGACTTTGGGCAACATCTACCCAAAACCAAGTATTTCCCAGCCTTCCTCCTTGGCCCCCAACAACTGACTGTTCCTTTAATATCTTTGAGCCATTTCACTTGCAGACAGTCTGCTAGATCTGACAACCTAATATGAATTTTTTTCTTTTTGAGAGCAAGCATCAGATAACGAAGTTCCTGTCCTAACAGCAACACGCTTGGAATTCAAAACCTACCTCTGAAATTCAGAAGCTAAGTGTTGTGCTAGAGCTTCTGTGAAGCAAACTCCACCAATGCTATCGTCTGTGTTTGTAGCAAGCACACGATATATTCCACTGTTTACTTCTATGACTGTGATAGAAAGCGATGTTCCACCAAGTTTATAAACCAACACATTGCTGCCATGGTTTAAAAAAAAAGAAAAAAGAAAAGAAAGAAAGTAATATTAATAAGCCATCTAAAACTATGTTTACTTTGACACACTGTCTAAAAAGATGACCACCATATAATGTATTGCAGGTTTTAATCAGTTTTGTCAAGAGAATTTGATTTGGGGTGTTTGTATTTAATGCGTCTTAGTACCACTGTCCACTTGACAATGTTCTCTAAAGAACAAAATTAGTCTATTTCATACAGTGAGAGTAGTCAACGTTTTTCCTACAACACAATTGAGAATTGAACATTACATTCAAGATTATAGGCAAGAATTGTATGAGAAGGGTAAAAAATATCAACCAAGAAGAAAAAAGACAAGACATCTGTTTGCACTGACAGCAGTCTTTGCTATTTTGAAAATCTTGTGAATTATTTGAATATTCGTAAGGGAAACCCAATGTACGTACTGAACCCAGGAACTCGGCTTTAGTTCTACCGCATGTAAAATGACCCCATCTCCCACAATTAAAAACCAGCTATGCCAAAATCTGTTTAAGAAGGGATGCGTTTTTCTTCAAGCCAATCAGCTCATTAAAGAGCAAGACAGAATCTGGGCACAAATCTTTAAAGACAATTCTAAAAAAATAAAAAACAGAACAAAGAGATTTAAAATACTACGGATTTACGACGTCTAAATTGTTACTGGCTTTATTGAGAGAAAAAAGAAGAACAAGCCTCAAATCATTAATTTTGTATTGACTGCTAAGGCAACTCATCACTCCCTCATTTAAGATTTCTCAGGATTTAAGCACAGCAGCTTACAATTAAGAAGTGAAATATTAGGATTTTACCTTTTCCCAGTGGGTGAATCTTGGCCAATTCCATAAGCCAGGAGAGCTGCAGATGGTTCATGAATTAATCTCATAACATTAAATCCAGCAGCTGCAGCTGCTTCCCTGTGATAAGGCATAACAGCATTTCATTTTACTTTCATGACTTCACTATAGTCACGCATGCTAGTAAGATTTCATCTGAACTACATACGTCACCAACTCAGAAGTTGGTTACAGCATGGTATTAATAAAGCAAAGTGACTGGAAAAGAAAGATATCAGGAAGTTCAGTTGCTACTGTGTTGTTCTGGTAGTTGGATCTGCTGTGTGCTTATTGTCAAAGAAAACACTGATGTATCAGTCTATATACCCCATAAAAACCAGCAAAACCCCCCTCAACTGCAAGATGAAAAACCCCACCCTCAGTCAAACTTGCTAACTTATCTTCAGATTTGGTATTAAAAGTTCTTGGCACATTATTTCAACAGATATCATGCTAGGAAAATTGCTTTTACTTCCAAACCAAGTTATCGCACCTCACTTCTAACAATTCTTCACAGAAAGGCTGCATCAAAGGCCAATCGTATCCTGGGCTGTGTCACAAGGAGCGCGGCCAGCAGGTCGAGGGAGGGGATTCTGCCCCTCTACTCTGCTCTGGTGAGACCCCACCTGCAGTACTGCGTCCAGCTCTGGAGCCCTCAGCATAAGAAAGACATGGACCTGTTGGTCCAGAGGAGGGCCACAAAAATGGTCAGGGGGATGGAACACCTCTCCTATGAAGAAAGGCTGAGAGAGTTGGGGTTGTTCAGCCTGGAGAAGAGAAGGCTCTGGGGGAACCTTCTTGCAGCCTATCAGTACTTAAAGGGCGCTTATAAGAAAGATGGTGGCAAACTTTTTAGACTAGATATAAGGAATAAATTTTTTACGCTGAGGGTGGTGAAACACTGGAACAGGTTTCCTGGAGAGGTGGTGGATGCCCCATCCCTGGAAACAGTCAAGGTCAGGTTGGACGGGGCTCTGAGCAACCTGATCTAGTTGAAGATGTCCCCGCTCATAGCAGGGGCGTTGGACTAGATGACCTTTAGAGGTCCCTTCCAACCCAAACTATTCTATGATTCTATGTTTTCTTGAAACTTCAGTAACCCTGGGACTGCCCTGCAAGTAGTTTCCTCCACTTTGAAGTTATTTTGAAACTTGCATGTCAAAGCAATAGAGTATTTCATCACACATACTGCAAATACCCAGCTCACTAATGTTTTATGACCAACTTTAAGTGTGCTTTAAGTATTTCATGACAGTTCAACATAATGGCTTCTACATACCAGAAAATAGAAATAGATGCTGCCACTTACGCACAGCTTTAAGTCTATTTACGTTTTCATATGGAAGAACTTTTACAGCTACACTTCCAAGCAGAACTTCCAAGCAGAATACTGGTGTGTATTCCTATCTGCTCTCTGACAGAACAATCATCAGTAAAGTCATGTAACGCCATTTGGTTTGGTGAGTGTTGTTGTATGAGGGGATGGGAAATTATGGAAGAGGGCTGACAAACTATTTGCATTTCAAAGCAGACACTGAAGATCCACTAGAAATAACACATCTGAAATGACATTCTATCCTTGATGATACCAAAATTCCCTCTCACTTCAGTTGATTCAGAATTTCATTTTGGTTACAACAGTGAATTCCATGAAAAGTTTCTAAAGTCAGGATTTTTATCTCCTACTTTCACATTTTCCCAATTCAAATAGTATCCCAGTGTCTTGACTGATAGTCGCAAGCTGAAGTCCAGCAGAATTCCCATTGCTGATCTGCCAGCCAGTCTGCTTTAGGCATGTTAAATAACAGAAAAATCTTAATCCTCTTACCCAAGGGCATTTTTCTGATTCTCTCCAAAATCAAATGGTACAGTGATAACAACGTCATTTACATCTGAACCCAATGCAGACTGAGCAGTTTCTGTTTATAAACATAGGCAGAACATGTTGATTAAAAGCAAAAAAACCCAATATATCACATCTTAAATATGAGGACAGCTTAAAAAACTAAAATATGTTATGTTTTTACTTATTATATACCTTTCATTTTACTGAAAATTAGTTTTGCCACATCTTCTGGGTTAATAAATTTATTATCTATTTCATATTGAAGTTTTCCATTCTTCTCAATTATCTGTAAGCAAAACCAACATACCTTTGTTAGATACGTAATTTGGTTATTAACAAAAAGTAACGTTCAATTTAGTTTCTGTTCAAAGTAAAAACCATTGGACTGTGTAAATATTTTGTTAGTTACAAGAGAATAAATGCTTCCAAGATGCTTATCAGAGATCACAAAACCCCCCCTTGTATTATCCAACAGACATGACAGTGACATTCATATGGACTTAAAGACTCCAGACTTTTTTCCTATTAGAAGTTTTCCTTCGTACAAAAGCAACATTTAGAACAAAAGTACTTGCCTGCTTACATTCCATAAGAAAAAAGATCAACTATCTACATAAGCCTGTCAATACAAACAGTCAAAAAAAAGAGAAAAACTCATTGCTTCTTTAGGAATATGTTTTCCAGGATAATATTTCTCGTTTTGCAAAAAGGTGTCTAGTAACAAGCACAGTATTATTTAAATTAAATACTGAGATTAAATCAAGTGGTTAAGCATTTTTATCACCAGATGCTGTAACCTGAGCATCTCTACCAGTGTTAAGAAACACCACAACGCTATTGCCCAAATATATTAAGAATCATCCCTTTTGAGAATGGCCAAGAGATTTATATAATTTTTCTGTTGGACTATATTATGATGGCAGAACACGGTGAAGTTCTCTACTTTATAAAAAGAGAAGCATTCTACACAGCAGCAAATGGACATCATATAGTGAGAGCTGATCACTACAGAACACAAACACGGTGTGGCACAAACAATGCCAAGAACAGTATAAAATGATACAAGTTATTCTGAGAACAACAAAAAAAATAGCTCATACTCACTGAACATTTGCTTTCTGCGATATATTTCTCTGCCTGTGGGTCACTAGAGCTGTCCAGACAAATTCAAAATAACAAAATAAATTATATGCTCAAGGGTAATTGCATAAATTTATCTTGCTGATATTCCTTATAACAACAACAGCACATGAAGCTATACTTCAACCAAAGTTCCTGTTTCCACTCTACGGATACATGTATACAGGAGAAGAAAAGCCAACAGTTGTAACTGCTGGCATCTTTCAATCCCCTTTCCCCAAATTAATGACAGAAAATATAGCTACTAGTTAGTACTAGTTAGTGAAAAAGGGAAAACAAAAGCCAACACATTGTTTTAACCTGCTATCCCCAATAATCATTATAAACGATTTTAGTGGCACTTTTGTTGCATTGACTGAAGTAACGCGAGAGCAATAAGCTGACTATCCTTAATCCTCCACTAACGACATAAAGTTATGCATCTGAAAAGTGCTGAGAAATACATCAGAAGAGACATCAACTTGTCAACTCCTTTCAGTGAAAGAGCTGTAACACACAGCTAGGTTATCACTGAAAAGTTTTGTCACACCTCTGATGTTAGACCTAAACCAGCAAGTTTAGTTCTAGTATCGCTGTAACTGCCAGTGCAAACCGTCACAGCTCCACTAACTGAAGGATCACAACAGGCATTACATCAGTGCGTTTCTTGACTGTAATAAAAGGCAATACAAAGTTTCATGCAACTAAAACCACAGTGGATATTAGCCACAGGAAAACACCCAGGTAACAACAAGATGTTTTAGTTAAAAAACTTAAGTATATGTCAAAAGCATATATGCAACTTGTTAATAAATTTCACAATTTGATTTCACAAATTCAGATAAAAAATACTACGCATCTCTTTACTCCTGGAATGAAATGTAGAACAAGAAGTTCATAATATAAGGAATTTTTAAGATCTGACATACCCTCCTGTCAATGCCAGGTTAACTTAACTACTATCACACTAGATTAAAATGCCTCCAATGTCAGCACTGACCAGCTTTACTGGGGAAAACTGAACTTCTCACCTTCCCTTTCACACCTGTTCTCTTACCTTCGCCCAAGGATCTGCTTTACTTTCACTACAGTGTTTGAAATATTTCTTATCCTACTTTGCTTTGCAGCTAAGCCAACAACCTGAATGAAAAACAAAGGGGGGGAAAAAAAAAGTGAGCAACGGGAGAGCTCCCC